ATGGGTACAGCAAACCACCATGGCACATGTATACCTATGTAACAAACCTTCATGTTCTGCACGTGTATCCCAGAACTTAAAGTATAGAACATATAAGAAAATGCAAAAAAAAGACATATATAGTATGTTCATATCAGCATTGTTCATAATAGCAAAAAACTAATGATAACTTTAATGTTCATCCACATATCCATGAATAATCATGCTATAACTACACAATGGCATATTGTACAATAGTAAAATTAATAAAGTACTACTACATATATTTTTGTGGCCGAATCTTAAAAATCTTATAAACATAATGCTGAGTAAAAGAAGTGAGCCACCAAAGATACCATATATATAAATATGTATGCTTTTATATATACATACATATGTATGTGTATATATGTATCTGCATGTATGTGTAACTAAACAGTATTGTTTAGGGATACAAATATGCAGTAAAGCCTTTTTAAAAAGCAAAAGGATGATTAAACACAAATTTAAGGAAGATGGGTACCTTTGCAGGAAAAGAGATAGGATGTGAAACAGTTCATATATAGACTCAACAAACTGTTTCTTAAGTTGGTTGTGGACTCACAAGTATTTGTTTTAATATTATACCCCGTAACTTGCATGTGTATTGTTTTGTAAGTATCAAATATAATAATGTTAAAAAAAATCAGTACTTAGCAAAAAAAAAAAAGGAATGGAAAGAACTTCTTTAACCTTAGTTATCAAAATCCTACAGCAAAAGAATGTGGAATAAAATATTGGTGAAACATTAGGGTGAAATATTAAAGCATAACCTTTAAAGTAAAAAAGAAGATAAGATAGTCACTGAATATAAAAATATTGATACTCCCCAAACAAATCAACAAATTTACTGAAATCCCAATCAAATTCCCAACAAGCTTCTGCTTAATTTTTCTTCATATTTGCAGAATTGAACAAGCTCATCCTAAATCCATGTGGAAAATCTAGGTTCTAAAAACAGCCAAGATAATCTCGAAGATCAATAGCTCAGTAGAGAAACATTCCCTACTGGATACTTGGAGCCTTTCTTGGAGCTAGAATAGTTAAAGGAGTGTCATATCCGAAGAGAGGATATCTACAGATACATGATACATGAAAGATAGCAGTATAAGCTGAAGAAGAAATCATCGACATTCAAAAATGATACTAGATAACTGATTATACAGATGGAAAAAAAATCATATCCCTACTTCAGACTGTGAAATAAATACTAAGTAAATAAAAGCAAGCATTTAGAACTTTTTGGAAAAAATATAGGAGAATATCTTTATTGTCATGAGGTCAGAAAGAATTTCCTAAAGCAGAAAAAACACAAACCATAAGGAGAAAAGAAGACTGACAAAATTCTATTAAAATCTAAACAAAAATTTAGGAGTGGGAAAACATTGTTTCAGTGCATAAAATCAATAAAAGGATTTTATAGTAAACCATACATTAGTTTCCAAAAATCAACAAGGAAAGACAAATGACCCAATGAAAAGAAATAGGGAAAGGGTATGAAAAGATAATTCACAGAAAATGAAATGGCCAATATCCATGCTTAATACCACGAGGATTCTTGGAAACTGAATTCTTGGAAATTTGTATTATGACAAGGTCCCATTTCAAAACAGTCAGATTGGCCAATATCTAAAGATCTGTCAATATCAATAACAGGTGAGGATATAGAATGGGTGAACTTTCATATGCTGCTAATAGAGATACAAACTCATGGCCTCATTTCAGAGCTGAGCTAATTAATATCTAGTAAAACCATAGGTATTCATGCTTTACCACTCAGCATGCCACTTCCAGGTATCTATGCTAGAAAAAACTCTATTGTATTGAAAGAAAACTAAAAGTTAATCAACAGGAGAATGCATAAATAAATTTGACTCTATTACTCAAAAGAATTATGAACAGCAGATAAAGATGAATAAACTGAAACTACATGTGTCATCAAAAAAATTGAAACAAAACCAGGGCACGGTGGCTCACGCCTGCAATCCCAGCACTTTGGGAGGCTAAGGCGGACAGATCACGAGGTCAGGAGTTCGAGGCCAGCCTGGCCAATATAGTGAAACCCTATCTCTACTAAAATACAAAAATTAGCTGAGCATGGTGGTGTGCACCTGTAGTCCCAGCTACTCAGGAGGCTGAGGCAGAAGAATCGCTTGAACCAGGAGGCAGAGGTTGCAGTGAGCTGAGATCAAGCAACTATGCTCCAGTCTGGGAGAGAAAGTGAGACACCATCTCAAAAAAAAAGAAAAAAATCTGTAGAAGTAGATGTACAGTACAGGAAATTTATAAGATGTAAATCAATACTGCATATTGAATATATAGATCCAGATGCATATAGTATAAATACTGAAATATGCATAAAAATTAAAAACACCAAATTCAGATTTATGACAAGGCCAGGACCGGAGTGAGGCAAGCATCAAGCCTAGGGTGCAAAATTTAAGGATGCACTCACTCTCAATTTTGTGCAAGTACAGGGCATAAACCTAAGAATGAGTGCTTCCTTAAATTTTATGCCCTCAGCACAATGTGTTCATCTCACCTTATCTTGTACCTGTTAGATGAAATACACAAAGGCTTCATCCAGCACTGTGGAGTTTATTTCTTTAAAAAAAAAAAAAAAAAGCTGGGCTCGGTGGCTCACACCTGTAATTCCAGCACTTTGGGAGGCCGAGGTGGGCAGATCACAAGGTCAAGAGATCGAGACCATCTTGGCCAACATGGTGAAACCCCATTTCTACTAAAAATACAAAAATTAGCCAGGCATGGTGGCACACACCCATAGTCCCAGCTACTCGGGAGACTGAGGCAGGAGAATCGCTTGAACCCAGGAGGTGGAGGTTGCAGTGAGCCAAGATCGCGCCACTGCACTCTAGCCTGGGCAACAGAGCGAGGCTCCATCTCAAAAAAAAAAAAAAAAAAAAAAAAGTCTGTTGTGCAACTACATCCCTATAGAGAAGGTGTATATTTGCTGCTGCTGGATTTTACATGCTCAAGACTAGTTGTTAAGTTACTTTCTTCTATTGGAATTGTCATAATGTGTGAATATTAGGAATTTAAACTTGAAACACAAGTGTAGTGAGGAATTGGCATAATAATTTCCCACAGAAGATTCCTTTTTCTCGTCACAAAATAACCAAAAGAATGGCGTGCAACTGAACTTGGCAATGAGCTCCTCTCTCCCACAGCTTTGCACTCTGAGCAGAAGATGAGAATTTGGAGCGGAGGGGACCAGTTTGGAATTTGTGCCAGACGTAGCACTCTGAGCAATTTCTACTGACTTGGTTCCTGTCTTATTTCCAAGCCTAGCTCTCCAGACTTCTCATCAATTCTGTAAGCTTTTCAACATCCTCCAGCAATTTCTCATTCTCCTTAATTTAGAGTCAATTTCTGTTGCTTGGAACCAAAAAGCCATACCAATATATGTAGCCTCACACTGTCAAATAAGGAATTTGTATAATGCCACTTGTTATGATTCCGTCCTTAGGAATCAACTTTCTCACCATTATTTGATTTCCCATTAGGTTTGCCTACAAGGAGAAAGTGTGCTAAACATTTTAACCTGAGTATTCCAGAAGATAAAACTCTTCTATTTGTCTTTATCAATTAGGGAATTGCCATTTTCTTTTTACATATTAGTTGTATACACTTAATTCATGTGAGTTTGCCCCAGAAAGTTCTGTTAGATACATGAGAAAATAAAATTTGTAAGTGTGTAAGCTAAGGACCAGACCCTAGAAAACTACCCAAGATAATGAATATCACCCAGGTAAGACTCAGAAAATAGCTGCTGGTCTTTCTGGTAGCCAAAATACCATTAACAAAGTATTCTCTGTTTTCCCTATTACATTTCTATATTACTTTAGTTGTTTTGAAGTTCTTGCTTTGGTACCTCTCTCTGAGATGCTCTTTCCCGTGTATTAAAACCTCTAGCTTTGAGGCTGGGCAGTCACTCACACTGTAATCCCAGTGCTTTGAAAGGCAGGGGCAGGAGGACTGCTTGAGGCTAGGATTTCAAGACCAGTCTTGGCAACATAGCAAGACTCTCATCTCTACAAAAGCTTTAAACATTATCCAGGTATAATGGTGTGTGCCCTGCAGTCCTAGTTATTTGGGAGCCTGAGACAGGAGGATCACTTGAGCCCAGGAGTTCCAGACAGCAGTGAGCTATGACTGTGCCACTGCACTCCAGCCTGGACAGAAGAGCAAGACCCTGTCTCTAATAAAACAAAAACAAACACACCTCTAGATTTCATTTTATTTGCTGAGCTGGTAAGATGGGTACAACCCAAGCTCAAGGAAGTTAGGCTTTTCCATGATCTGGTTAATAATTCCATTCTCTTTTCCAATTTTCCTTTTATACCTCTTCATGCTTATATGGAAGTGGTTTCCAATATCTTGCCATTATGTCTGATTTTACCTTAAACACATATTACATAAAACCTTTAATTTATAATTTTCCTTGAAAGAATAAAAGTATCTCTCTATCTCTCCATGTACCCTCTCTGTATCTCTCTCTCTCTCTCACATACACACACACACACACACACACACACACACACCCCACAAATATCCACACAAATACCAGCATTTTATATAAGTCAAATGAAACTTCAACAACAATAAGCTTTAGAGAGGGAAGAGTCATAGGAGGGCAGCCTTGAGAAAGAAGGTAGCTAGCGGAATACTTGGATACTCACAGCTAGGCCACAGCTGATAACCTGAGGCTAAGGTGCAGATTATATGCCTATGAGCTTTAGATCTGGCTGTCAGTGCAGCCTCCTTGGCCTGGATCACTGTACAGTCATTAATATGCAAAAGACATACTCCTGACTTACTTGTTCTCCAGTCATGGCTGTGCCCACAGCCCCTGAATAAAGATTTGCCAAGCTGGCCTGCGGTGCCAGCTACACAAAGAACTGTAGTCTCAGGTGTGAACAAATCCAACATTTCACCAACTGTGTCATTTAGAATTATCTTACCTCCTCTGTCTTTAAAACTTCCCATATTCGAGCATGATCTTCCACCAGCCAGTGTCCCGTACTTTCTACCTTGGTGGAAAGTTTGAATTTAGACACCACTTGAGTAGGTTCTCCCACAGGTTTCTCCTCCATCTTGAAAGAGGCAGGCAGGAGGCATTACGGATCTGTGTGGAAAAATAAAGTATGATACAGGTTAAAACAATGAGTAATATTAAAAGAAACATGGAAGCAAATTACCATGCTTGACTTGTGACTAGTGAGTCTATTAAAGATGGTATTATAATAGGCATTAACTTTTATGGCCACTTTTATATTCTGAATATTCATTATTGGTATTTTAATGCAGGCTTTGGAAGGTAAGAATACATTCTTATAATGGCAAACTGATGTAAATTTTAAAGCAAAGTGCAAGCCATCACCTGCCTGTTATGCCTGCTTGTCACGTGGCTTTGGCCTTCTTGAGGGAGAGATGGAAATGGGTGAATATAAGGCAGACCTGAGTGATGTTTTCATATTTCCATGCCAGGTGCTCCATGTAGAAGCAGCATTGGCTATGATGTCAAGAGTTTTATTCTTCAAACACCTAGTATGCACTTGTGTATATGAGGCTCCATGTGAGGCATACACAAATAATTCAGTAGTTTGGCTGTTAACCTTAAGAAGCTTAGAGCTTCAGGACAGAAAGATTGTAAACAATTATTAACAATATGATGTATTACAACACAGTGTGTAAGTGCCACAATGATCATGTTTCCAAACTGCAATGAAAGCACAGAGGAAGATCCCTTTGACATTGCCTGGCTGTGCTGCTTTCTTGGGCCTTGGTTTCACTAACAGTTACTCTAGACATTATTTAAAATTTTACACCAATTTTACAAGGTCTACTTCTTTGACATCTTTCCATCTGCCACTGGCTTGTTCAGAATCTCATCATATCTTGCCTGACTCAGCCCCATATTATCTATCATGAGTCTCCTTGCCTCCATTCAAGTCTCCTTGAATCTATTCTTGGTGTAGTTTTTCTAAAAAGCAAAACTCTTAATGACGTTCCATCTACCTAAAACTTTTCCTAAAGAAGAAAATCCAAATTCCTTAACACAGCATTCAAGGATCGTCGTATCTGGCTTCATCCACCTCCCTGCTCCCACCATGTGCACACACGGCTGCCTCCTCAGCCACCGTTTCAGCCATATGAAAGGATCTATGGACCCCAGATACATCTGATGCCCATAGCCTTTGTGACACCTTCCCTCCAATCCCCACATCCAAGAGAATACAGGCCTCCCTCCTTTGATACTCTATGTACTCCAGACAAACTTCTATCATGCCACCTGTAACACTTCATTATATTTATTTGCTTTCAATTCTATTTCTCTCTTCTAGTCTTATATCTTGAGACTACAGATAGTATCATATACAGTAAGTACTATATAAATGTTTTATGAATTCATTAATTCTATCATTTAGTAAATCATGAGAAACCACCGAAAACAAGGCAGCAGATCTTATATATTCAAATAACAGATGTAAAAGTCAAGTTACCTCTTCCTTTTAACTTTATTTTATTTTATTTTATTTTTGAGTCAGAGTCTTGCTCAGTCGTCAGGCTGGAGTGCAGTGGTGCAATCTTGGCTCACTGCCATCTACACCTCCCAGGTTCAACCGATTCTCCTGCCTCAGCCTCCTGAATAGCTGGAACCACAGGGGCGCACCACCATGCCCAGCTAATTTTTGTATTTTTAGTACAGACAGGGTTTCACTATGCTGGCCAGGTTGGTCTCGATCTCTTGACCTTGTGATCCACCTACCTTGGCCTCCAAAAGTGCTGGGATTACAGGTGTAAGCCACCGCACCCAGCCATTAACTTTTTTTTTTTTTTTTGAGACAGAGTCTTGCTTTGCCGCCAGGCGCCAGGCTGGAGTGCAGTGGCGCAACCTCGGCTCACTGCAACCTCTGCCTCCTGGTTTCAAGCAATTATCCTGCCTCAGCCTCCCGAGTAGCTGGGACTACAGGCGCATGACATCACGCCCAGCTAATTTTTGTATTTTTAGTAGAGACGGGGTTTCACCATGTTGGCCAGGATGGTTTTGATCTCTTGACCTCGTGATCTGCCCACCTCAGCCTCCCAAAGTGCTGGGATTACAGCCATTAACTTTTTTATTGACTTAGTAGGCTATAAGTTCTTCATGAAAAAGGGACAAATATAACATTCATCACACACCCCCAAGCAGCTTATAATGCCAGATGGAATTGCTCATTAGTTAACAACAAGCTGGTTTTCATGGAAATGTCTTAAAGGAATTATGTCTGCAAAACACAGGCATTATGCTCACATAACCCACTACTCAAAGAAAAGAAAGTGGAAATTGAAATTGATACGAGTGGCAGGAGTGACAGGTCAGAGGATTGAAGAAAACCATTGTCTGCAGAGGGGTTAGTTCTTTGCCCTGGGGTTTCCCATGCTCCATCTGTAAGACATGGAGAGTAAGTCCATCTGCTTGCAGAGAACAATGATGAAGAAACTGATAACCAAAACTATCGTGAAGTACTTAGAAACATGGAGCACTTAATATCCTCCCACTAGGAATCAGGAAACAAAACCTACATAATTAATGAACAAAGTTTCTCTGAGTGGACACACCAATAAATGATGCTGACACATACATACACAGGAAATAAAAGGAAATAAACAAAGAATAGTCATGTGGAGATTTCGGTCCAAAAAAAGGAAATTAAAATAAACAGGCAAAATGGAAACAGTCCAGATTAGTAGGAAAGGAAATTCCATTGTTGTCATTGGAGAGAATACTGTAAACAACAACAAATAAATCAAAACAAAGTAGGAAAACTACATAAAATGGTTTTGGCTGTCTCCTTTGTATATTATGGAAACAAAACTGGATAAAATAGACAAAGTACAAAATCTCATGGGAACAATGGAGCATCTGTAAGTGTAACATGTCCCAGAGACCCCACAGCTTACTCTACTGTCTGCCCACAGCTGCTTTCTCATCTCCGCAGTGTGGGTGAAAGTTGGCAAATTTTCAGCATTGAAGACTGAACTCTACTGTGCACTGACTTCCCACAGATTGCTCCTTACCCTGTTTGGGAAGAAGATGCAATTGTGAGTTTTAAATTATCCCAAAGCATTCAGGAACTAAGGAAGGACTCAAGAGAGGCAGCCAGTTCTTACAAGGCTCTTCAAGCATTCCGAGATCCTCCACCCTATTTGAGACTAGAAGTCTTTTTCACTCATTCTCAGTATATCTCTGCACTTAACAAAAATGATCATATGTACAATATATCTTGAGCTTCCACTGCATACCAGCCACTGTGCTAGGTGTTTTCCACATTATCTGTAACCCACGCAATAACCCTGAGAGGTAGATATCACCATTTTACAGCAATGAAAAATGAGGTTCAAAGAGGTTAAATAACTTTACTACACTGTTAGAAAGTTGCAGAGTTCCCAAGTTCATGCTCTCTCTCCTAGATCAGCTCAGGAAGCCTTCAGCTCCATCCCATTCTCTCATCACTGGTAGAATGTAACCTATTTCTCATGCCCCTTCCTCCATAGACTAGAGCCAGAGTGTCTGTGTCTCAGCTTACTGGCACAATGGTGCTCCCTTGAGAGATGGTCACATCTGATGAGTACCTAGGTAAGGATGGCATGGAGAGATGAAAACATCACAGGGAATGGATCATTCCTTTTCGTTTCTACTGCCATCTCGACTTCAACTTCTGACCAGGGTGAGGTTTATGAGTATGTGACTTATGTAGTCACACAGGGCCCCATGCTCAGAAGAGCCTCATGCTTGGTTTAGTGCTCGGCTGTTGCCGTTTTAAAATTCTTAATTTCTGAAGGGAGATTCAAGATGGCTGATCACTAGCAGCTCGGGATTGTAGCTCCCAGTGAAAGCGCAAAGAACAAGAGGACACCACACCTTCACATGAATTCTTGTTGCTCACACACCAGGAGATTCCCAGCGGAGGAGCCCCACGGGTGGCCAGCGCGACTCTTGTGACCAGCAAGGCGGTTTTGCCGGTGACTTGGAGCGTCGGTTCTTGGTGCAGAGTCAGAAAAGCACCATCAATCTTAACGCTGCTGATTTAGTCGGCGCAGTGGGTTGCTCAGATTTCGGTGCTGAGAATCAATAAGTTGGACGTCCACTCAGAAACCCAATTACAAAGATGGTAATTATAAAGACCACAGATGGATAAATCTACAACGAAGGGAAGAAAACAGACAAAAAAGGCTGAGAATACCCAAGATCAGAACGCCTCTCCCTCAGCAGGGGATCACAGTTCCTCATCAGCAACGAAACAAGGCTTGATGGAGAACCAGTGTGTTCCAATTACAGAAGCAGGCTTCAAAATGTGGATAATAGGAAACTTCTGTGAACTAGAAGAACTTGTTCTAACCCAATCCAAAGAAACTAAGAACTTTGAAAAAAGGTTTGACGAAATGTTAACAAGAATATACAATTTAGAGAGGAAAATAAGTGAATTGATGGAGCTGAAAAACACAATATGAGAACTACGTGAAGTATGCACAAGTCTTAACAGCCGAATTGATCAAGCAGAAGAAAGGATCTCAGAGGTTGAAGACCAACTCAGTGAAATAAAACAAGACAAGATTAGAGAAAAAAGGATAAAAAGGAACGAGCAAAGTCTCCAAGAAATATGGGACTATGTGAAAAGACCTAATCTACGCTTGATAGGTGTACCTGAGTGTGACGAAGAGAATGAATCCAAGCTGGAAAATACGCTTCAGGATATTATTCAGGAAAATTTTCCCAACCTAGTAAGGCAGGATAATATTCAACTCCAGGTAATACAGAGAACACCACAAAGATATTCCTCAAGAAGAGCAACTCCAAGGCACATAATCCTCAGATTCACCAGGTTTGAAATGAAGGAGAAAATACTAAGGGCAGCCAGAGAGAAAGGTCGGGTTACCCACAAAGGGAAGCCTATCAGACTTACAGCAGATCTCTCAGCAGAAACACTACAAGCCAGAAGAGAGTGGGGACCAATATTCAACATCCTTAAAGAAAAGAACTTTCGACCAAGAATTTAACATCCAGCCAAACTAAGCTTCATAAGTGAAGGAAAAATAAAGTTTTTTGTGAACAAGCAAGCACTCAGAGATTTCATCACCACC